TTGTTGCCTGTCCTCCTGCTCTGGAGCTCCTTCCAATGGCTCACAATCATCCATGGGAGCCTGAGCAGTGAACCGGCCATAAGTCACCACACTACCCTGATGCGCAAAGGGAAACACACACACGTGTTGAACTCCATTAAAGAGAGCTTCAGCAGCAAATCTACAATTGTCGCATTTTTATAGACTTGACCAGAAATTATCTGTCCATGATGTCTGTTTGCCAGCCACTTGAAGCAAAGAACAACAACTAAGGTTTGTCTTGGCCACATCTCTCTTTCAGGAGCCTTCCTTGCTTTATTCAGAGCCACATCCACTGACTACGGTGTCTTACATGAGGGGGGCCTGTGTCTCACTCCCAAACCAATTCTGATGCTGCACACAGAATACACTCCCCTTTCGCTTGACTGTAAATGAAGTAAATACATGCGGTGGCTCACGGAAACCTGTCAGTTTGGCTTCCAACCTTCTCCGGCTCCTCAGCTTCTTCAGGCTCTTCCTCCTCCTCGAAAGCTAAGAATAGTCTTTACTTGCAATCTATGCATTCTGCAAGTCTTCTGCTCAGATTGCTTGAATTTGGGTCCCTGTGTCTTTGTCACCCGACAACACAAACACGTACTATACCTTTACTTTACTGAAACAAAATCCTTCAGATTCAGGGGGTAGGTCAGCACAGACTCTTAGAAGCCTAAATCTGTGTACATAAGGTTAACTTTAAAAAGATCCTATAAAGGATCAAGAGCACCTAGAAAGTGCATGTAGTACAGAATGGAGCTCACAAGATCAGACAGACATGTCAGGCAGGCAAAACATTGCTTCTATAAAGACAAGATGTCTGAGGATGAAAGCCACAACAACAAAATATGTACAGCAATGGGACAAGAAGCCCGTGATTCTAGAGTAGCTACAATTGCATAAAACGTAGTCTGTTAAATTGGTCCTCTTCTGGGACTGGCATGGATTGCAAACCATCTGCAGAGCCAAGGACTGCAAGTGCACAACCTCTCAAGCCTAAAACCTCTATACAATCACAGGACCTCAGCTTTTAAAAAATTGAAATGATATGATGTGTCTCTGCAAAGAATCAGCTCCCCCAACCTTCTCTTGTGCCTACACACCCTCTTGCCTAGCCTAAAATGGTAAGGTTTTTGGAGCATATGATACCCTATCTTAGACAGTGTATGTGCAAAGGAATGAAACAAGAAATGCAGTAACCCTGCCACGCGCGGGAAGGAAACACAAACCTTTGTCTAGACTCTAGACTCTAGACTTTCATGCCGTTGCCAGTCCTGCTCTGGAGGTCCTTCCAGTTCACGATCATCCAAAGGTTCCGCCTGCACAAAGGCCGTCACTCTTCCTGCCTTGATCTGCCCGTTTGTCAATCTTCAGCCTTCTCCGGCTCCTCAGGTTCTTCAGGTTCTTCAGGCTCTTCGTCCTTGTCACGGGCTGTTTTGTATTCGAACACAAAACAAAGACGAAAGGGACAGACTCAGTTTTGCATTTTGACAGGGGCTCACAACATAGCACCAATCACCAAAGACTCCTTAGAATAGACATCATAATGTATGCAATACTATCATTGCCCCATTCAGGATCATTTGTACAACTGAGCAACCTTATTTGCACCACACCAAACCCTGTATCCTCTTCCTCCATAGGCCCGTTCAAGGGCTTTGTCAGGAGCTCACGATAATCCACGTAGTCTTCCTCCTGGGCGGTAATTAGTACAATCCTCCGCTGCAACCTTTGCACCTCTTGACATACGCATTTGTTCTTCCCCCTGTACAAGATTTCATTCTGACTGTTTAGGCAGGGACCAGCCGGAACCTTCCATACTTCATGTTCAACCCTTCATGGGTTCTATTTCCGATGCTGTTTTCAACTGCATCTATCAACAAGGGCCAAAGGCAAGACTTCATTTTGACCTGTTCATGGGTTCTATTTCCGCCGTGTTCTCAATTCCATTTATCAACCTTTATCGAAGGAGCCAAACAAGCGAAAGGGTGTGTGTGCGTAGTTGTCGCTGTGTCTGCCAGGCAAGAGGTGCCACAAAGAGCTTTGCCCAGAAAGGGGAAATTGTGAAGTCAACCCACAAACGTGCTTTTCGCAAGTCTGCAGGGGGCTGTTGTCACACCTACACTGGGCACGAACAAGCCGTCAAGCATGCCACATGGGCACAAAGAACACTGGCGAGGACAGCGTGAAAAAAGGCAAGGCTAAAGGTTGTCCAGGCCCGCGCACGGGACAAACAAAGAACCTGCACAGGGCGGGAAGAAAAATGCCCTTTGCAAATTCTTGCCCTGTCGCTCATAGACTCATAGAGGTCTCTTTGTGCCGCTGTGCACGCTGTCTAGGCACATTCCTTTTCCACCCTTCTACGGACGGACAACCCCTTTTCCTCTGAGAGACCCCTGACCTCTGACGCTGCTGCTTTCATGCATGTTGTGGGGCTGGACCCGGATTTGGGGAACCCGCGCCCTTTTTGGGGGCTCCTTGGCCGTTCCCCTTCACCGTGCCCGAAATGTTCTTCTTTCCATCCTGCGGTTCCGTTCTTTGCTGGGCGTTGGTTCTCTTCGCACCCTGTGCAGCGCAGTCAAAGCCAGAAGAAAAACCTCTGGCTGGGTCTGTCTTCCGCTTTCTTTCTGCCTTGCAGGGTTTTTCATCTGCCCTGTATTGCTGTGCTTCTGTTGCGTGGGGATGTTGGCTTGTGCCTTGTGTTTTGTAAGGCTGTCCAGGGTTACCAGGGTGCCGACACGCGGTGCCCAGAAAGACTCATGTTGCTGTTCCTTTTTCTCGCCCGGGTGTCCTGGACGTGAGCGCAAACTGATCAATTGTCTTGCATGTCTTGCCCCTCGTCGATTCGTGCTGAATGCCCTCCAACCTACGAGCGATGGCCTCGAACCTAATAGCAACCATTGAAAAACCTGAGTGAATCTACTGTTGCAACATGTTGCAACAAAACTGGAGCATTGCATATCAGACCTGCAGAAAACGTGGTGTCCTGGTCTTCTGCGGTCACAAGCTGCTCTGGAACCGGATCCACCTGGGGAGCCTGCGCTGAGCCGAAGAACGGAGACGTCGATCGATCATCGCAACAACAGAGACGTCGCCTCTTCCGGGCGAGCTCCCTTGATGGCCTCAAGGTGCTGTGAAACGAATTGACTGAGAACTTGTGTTCGCAGAAGAAGCACAGGCAAAAAAGGAAGTGAAATCGCAATGCGCGCTACTCGCCTCTTCATATTTTCTGCGGGAGTTGGCCAGGAAGGACAAAAACCCTGCCCACAACATCAAGCGGATCAGATCCTACAGTCCTACAAAACCAGCAAAGCCAAGCTTGTTAAAAGCACTGCCTCGCTGTTGCGTCATCCCTGACGCGGCCAAAGCGCTTCTAGGCAAGCTGAGCAAGTTTTAGGAAAAGAAGCCTTCCATGAGGCAATGGCATTGTTGCAAGAGATGTTGGGTCAAAGTTCCTGAAGGGCTAGAAGGTCTGAAAGCGTAGGCTTGCAGTCTAAGAGTCTTATGTGTTTCGAGACAGTTGTCCTACCTTGAACCGAAACAGCAGCTGAAAGCCATATTCTGACAAACAGTGTCCATGCCGTAGCACCGGATGTAGCACCGATGTGTCACAGCAAGGCCTGCCACAAGCAATTAGGCCTATACGCGCGTGCTTTGGCAATCCGGTAATAAAGGCTACAAAAAAGTCATAGTATGTCATAGTCATTGTGTTGCTATTGCCATGCCTCGATTGACTCTATTGCCTCTCCGTTGCCAGAGAATCATGCAGGAGGGTATATATAAGTGCGCCAAACCTTCATGATACTGTAGCTTGTGATTTACACAGCCAGCTAGTGATTAACACAGCCAGCTGGTTGACACTATCATCATAGTCTGTATTCTTGGCGGCTTCCATCTCAATCACAAGCAGCAGAATACACGTCAGGAACAGTGCTCCGCCGGTTTCTTCCATTCCTTCAGCGGCTGCCCAGGTCCTCATCCAGTGATGAAGGGCTGCAGAGGCAGGTGTCCTGCATCGTGGAAGAACAACAAACTGATATTCCTAACAGGAAGCCACCTGAGCTTGCTGCCCAGTGGCACCCGTGTCTTCATGTTCATGTCATTTTTGGTCCAACAAACTCCTGCACTTGGCAATTTCTTCCGGTGGCAACTCTCTGTGGGTATTGGGCAAAGGATAGAAGACCTCCAGCGCTGAGCGAGATAGAGGCTGAGTGGCTTGGAAGGCAAAGCTGCATTCATTTTGGCTTGAGAAAATCTGGGAATCTTAGCCATCCACCTCGGGCGGGCAGACCAAGATCTGATCGCCACAATCTGTGCAAATGCTGTGGGTGAGAGTTGGTAGCCCAACGCTGTGGAGGTCCAGTTGGTCTTGAGATGTTTATTGTTGATCTAGAATCGTCAAACCATGTCAGACCTATCAACCTGGATCTCCCCATGCACTTCGAATCTACAGCAACTACCCCGACCTGTGGCAAGTGGCAAGGCCCGCATGATGGCCCGGGTAAAGAAGCCAGGTCCAGTGCTCGCCAAGAACGAGGCCTCCGTTCTGTGTTCACCGCATGATGACAAAGGGTCCTTCCTAAATGATGTGTCTTTCTGTTCAAGGGTCTAAAAGGTACTAAAAGAATCTGAGTTTATGGAAGGCTTCAGCGGCTTCGGGGGCCTTTACCTTTACCTTCTGTTTCCTGTTACCTTCTGCCTTTTCCTCCAACCCTTGTGCACGCCTTGCCCTTGGAGGCCAGCTCGCTGCCCAACATTCCGGACCTCCATTCAGTGTCACTTGACTGATTTGTCTCCAAACGTCTGGACGTGGCCTCTGAAGCTGGTAGGCAACTGCTTCAGCGGGATCCACCTCATCCTCAAAGCTGCTCGATTCGGAGGTCTTTGAAGACTCAGTATCAAGTCTGGGGGTGCAATATGTCGCATTTAAAAGGATAAATCATTTGTAGGTGGGTTTGTCAATGTTCAATGAGACCATATGAGACCACACCACACTTCTGCCCTGATGAGGCACCGCTGCCTGCCCCCATTCTGGCCAGGGCTTGCCCACATGCTCACAGAAGAAAGCCACCAGGGGATGCCTCACAAATCCATCGCAAGTTCTCACATATCCATCTCGTTTTCGCCTCGATTTTCGACGTTGATTTCGTTTGAAAGACATCGAACCAAAACCCCCCCGGTCCCGTGCGCACCCGGGAGCCGCTGCGAAGAGGCCGTTGTTCAACTCGAAGGCTCCGACCTCGGTGATCGGGCTCCACCGGGCGTCTTCGTTCGTTTGTTTCAAAAGCCTTTTCAAAAGAACTTTTTGGGCCAACCTCCCCCACCTCCCTGCTTGATTAAGTAGGTTAAGTAGATGCCTACTTAATTGAGTAAGGGAGAAGTAAGCTACTAGGCTAAGTTAGATTCTAGACATGGACGCGGGATAGCTCATGCTTCTTCAAGGAAGCTCTCCCCGCCTGACGGCGGCGGGGAGCTTCCCTGAAGAAGCGCTCGCACTGATCATTTGGTTCCTACATGTTCAGGGAAACTCACTGCCGATAACTCAATAATACCTTGCTAGGAACCCGGGCATTTGACATGCCACTGTAGAAGGATGTGGCACGATGCAACTCGTCCAGGGGGCGCAAGCATTCAAAGTCCTTCCAAAGTGGAGAAGCTTGTATGGAGTCATTTAAATTGAATATTTCATCATCTTCCATCAAGAAGACTTCACAATGCATTCACAGCAGTTCAGTCCACATCCACGTACAAGCCTCCTTTCTCCAAGACAATCACAAGGCCTTGAGCCAGGTGGAAACTCTGCGGGGTGTCAGTGCAGTTTGCCGAATCCGAGGAGCTAGCGAAGAATGTCGCTTTTCTCCGCAGGGTTCCTTGCAGCTTCAAAGGCCTGCATGCTGTTGTGTGATGTTGGAGCATGATAGGTAACTGATGACATATGCAGCATGCACGTGGTGATCAACTATATCAACATATACAAATCTTTTCGATACCTTTCATGCTGCCTTCTGCAAACGCTCATGGTGCTGCAGTAGGCCAGGAACATCTGAATCTGTCCACAGGCGATATTCCCAGGCAGGGTGGCCTCAGCAGCTGTACAGGCAAAGAAAAGGACCTCGCTTCAAGGATCTGGACCGAGGACTACAAAGTCTTTCTTTGCAGATGATCTCTATATATAAATGTCTATTGCATGAAACCGGAAAGAGGGTCTACCTGCAAATCTGCCTTCAATATGCCAATATACAGTAATTGAAATATTATTGAATCGCTTGAAATTTGACTCCCCAGCTCTCCAGCCAGGTCGCAGGCACTTGCGCCATGTGTCCGCAAGCTGCTTGCACAGCTCTGGGCGCGGGGACTCCCCGAGCCAGATCCTCAGAGATTGACCAACGAACCTTCCCATGCTGATGTGGCAAAATTGTTTGGCAAACTGAGTTCATCATCTTGATTCAGACTTTACCAAGAAAGGCAATAGCAATATCCAGATATGTCTACCGTTCTTGGCTCCAAAGGAGGTGGCACTATGATTTGAAGATTACGAATGTTATTCTGCCTACGGTTTTTTGGCCAAGCTGTACTTGGGTTCCGAGCTGGTGAATCACGAGCGGAATGATTGGGTCTGCACCGTCCACAATCGATTGTTCCAGCTTCTGGGATTGCTCCTGTTCATGTCTTGCCGAACAAACTTTGCATGTGATGCTCTGTGTCTGGCCTCCCACTAACCACACAAAGCACTGCAACCTTCAGCCTCTGAGATCTAAAAAAGGGAACGTCCTCCCAAAGGCTTTGAATCCGTTCGCACCAGGCGCGATCGTACGGACTCCAAAGTTTCCACCTCGTCAGTTTCACCACACACCGTCTCATGGAGGCCATCGCGATTAGGTTGGAGGCCATTGCTAGTAGGAGCAAAGACGCTACTAGTAGCTCCTGGCCATACTACTAAAGGAACAAGAAGCTACTAGTAACAAAGGGCATTGCTACTAGGAGCAAGGACGCTTACTAGAAGCTACTAGGATGGAGGTGATCGCTATTGGGTTATGAAGTTATGACCACCACACGTTCAGCACCGTTGAGACACGTCGTTCAGCGCCTCCATGCCTCGATGGTGGGGAACTTCGCGCGGGCCATGGCCCGAAGGCATCCATCGGCGCCATCCATCGGAAGTTCACCACTGGTGTCTTCCATGGTGGCTTCAATGCCGATACAACGATAGAACGAAGCCGTTCACCATGGTTTTACATGTTACATGTCTTTTGTGTGCTTTGTGACTTTGTGTGTGTGTGTGTGAAATGAAGAAGAAAGGATCTGCTTTCAGAGTGCATGACTAAGGCAACAAATTCACTTGTCAGCTCTAGAATGCCGATCGCATCAGTATACATTGCTATGAATCTTTGTACAACAGGTACCCAAGTGCAAGCATCTTCAGCTGACCGACCAGTGCACAATTGCACAGGATCAGAAAATCTCACAGAACATTCAATTGGAGCATGTGCCAGACGCAAGCAACGCCCTGGGGCAACTCCAACCTCTCTTTCTCAGATTTTTCCAAACGATCCAGCATCCACACCCTTGTCCAAGTCTGCACTCTGGCACTCCGCCTGACACAACGGCTCGGTCCTTGACAAAGCTCGGCAAACCAGCCGTGGCTTGGCTCCTTGATCTGGTTGGTAGTGCATTCTATTCTTTCTAAACGTGAGGATCGGTATCAAAAGGCACTGCTTTAAAAGCATCTCCCTCCTGCCTCACAGCGAGGCACTGGGCTTCCCCTGGCACTGTCCAAACCACCAAATCCCTCCGACCGCCGCGCGGCGCCTGGCAGACGGATGAGGCGTCAGCGCCGAAAGCACATCCCACCGCTCTCGGACCTCAGAGTTGGGCGATCGGCACTGCGGTCGGCCCCAAAAGCTACTAGGGGCTCCTGGCATCGCTAACGTGCAAAGACGCTACTAGGGGCTCCTGGCCTTACTACTAGGAACAAGAAGCTACTAGGGGCTCCTGAAAAGGAATCGAAACTCGCTCCTTTGGGCAGCCTCGGCGGCTTCGGCATTGCGGCCTCCCTTCTTGTAGTGCTGCTCACCCGGCGCAGATTGCTGACGCAATAAGCCCGACATGGGGAAAGCTGTGAGACAGCAAACCCCCGGAGGAGCCCAATGAGCATGTTAGCGCATCATCTCATTGTCATCCACCGGGCACAACGGTGGGTTGGCCTCAAGCTGCCTCCGCTCCACAGCATCACGCCCCACACCAGGCCAGCGGTGTGCAGACTGCCCCCCTTCGGTGGGCAGAGCCACAAAAAGGTCCGCCATTCTCAGTCCGGGACATGTAAGCTGAAGACCGACTTGTGCCGGGCAGTCTGTAGGTAGGGCTGGGATCCGGAAAAAACGCAGCCCACGAAGTTGTTTTCTTTTACATACTGACAAAACTAAACTGATAAACCAACCCCCTTTTCCCGCAGGAGGCCAGGTGCACAACATGACCTGACCAACAAGTCCTGAGCGGAAAAAGCTCTCTCGCCTGCCCCTGTCCCGCATTCGCCAGGACCCTTCGCAAAAACGGAAGCCATTCGGAACTAAGGTCTCAACAGTTTCTGTCCTCACAGCCACCAGCTCGTCCTGGCATTAATTGCACGGACACAAACGGAATCAATCCATATCTATCCCGTCCTTCTGTCTCAACCTGTCCTCAGTGCGACTTCGAATCATTTTCTGCTTTGGTCAAAGGCCAATTCTGGGAAGAGTCCCCAACAAGTAGATCACACAGTGTTGATTGTAAAGCCAAAGGCTCCGCAAGGCCTCTTGGTATTGCTGGAAGACCGAACTCCTGGCAAAGGCAGATAGAAGCACCAAGCCCGATCGCTTTAGGTTTTGCTTCATTTTATGTAAAAAATCCAAGCATCCATTGTATCCATGCGATTTCCACAAATTCACGACTGTGAGAACCCCAACCTCTACACTGGTGGTGTTCGTTCGTTCTATAAAGGTCCTGCCTTTGGCAAGCCAGTGGATTGAAGTAATCCAGAAACGGTCTGCACCACTTCTCCAGCTTTGACCTAAGCTAGCTCGCGAGCGGTCTCTGTCGATCTGAGGAAAGTCGGTCGATCAAAACACAAGGAAAATTGGCATATATAACATGATGCAACAGTAGGGTTCAACAGTACATATGGGGCTCAAACGAAAAGAGATTCCGAAGTCACAAAAGGCTTCGTCACTGTTGGATCTTAAAATTCGCAAAGGCTATCAAATGCTCATCCAATCTAACACCCTTGCAGTAAGTTGGGTGTGCTTGCCTCGTGGGGTGCAATCATGTGCTGTGTTGTGACACTGTGAGACTTTCGTTCTCATCCTCCTGAGAGGCCAAACTCGCAGTCGGCCCAGTTCATTCAAGTAGTAGGCAATTGCACTGGCAAAGAATAGGTGCCCTGATGCTGACAAACCCGCGTCCTGTCCAACAAACCCGCTCAGGAAGAGCTGCTTAGACATGCAAGCAGGTGCAAGGCCAGCAGGACCCTGGGCATCACCAGTCCTCCCACCATCCATGGATATTGTTCTCTACGGAGCTGAAGCTCTCATCCTCCTCACACACCCAAGGTTGTACTCGTGTGCGTTACAAGTGTCAAGTGCTAAATGAGCCAAGCAGTCCTCAACGGCTTCTTCACGATGAAGTTGAAGACCGTTCAGCTCCTGCTTTTCATCAACCAAATGAGTTCTTCCACATCCCATTGCGTTAGTCTCTCAGTCGAAGAATGCATCAAGAACGGGCAGCGGGGTGAGTTCAAAGGTCAACCTTCAAGAGTTTGGAGGTCTTTCCTGCAGTATTCTCTCTTCCAGCGGGTTGAGCAACAGGATGGAGCGACCACTTGATTCCAGCCGTCCTGAAGCCACAAAACACTAACACGTAAAGTGCGACTTGAAGCACTGAACTTGGAAGTTGCAAGTGAATCCTTTCTGCTGAGGTACAACAGTTGTATTCAGGGTCAAGTGGCAGCATGACTGGATGGTCAGCCAGCTGCACTGTCTCGTGCGACTCAATCACGAACGCGTTCAGGGCGTCCTGTTCGGCCTGCTCGGTGGACGTATTGCTCTCGGTCTTCGGGGGGTCCCACTTGGATGACAGTGTGGACATCCTTATCGGCATCTTTCAAGTTGGCAGGCCAAGCCAGGAATGTGAGACTACTGACAAGAGCATTCCAGAGTGTGAGGAAGCACAGGTTGCAGTCTTGACTTCGCACCGAAGTTGAGCCTTGGCTCCCGACAAAATCCATGCCCCGTGCAGCCACATCAGTGGCAAAGAGAGCGCCCATGGTCGCAGGGGCCTTGGCAAACGAGCATAATCAGACAAGGATCTCTCGCTCCCAATCTGAGCTGCCAAAAAGGCCAAAAAGATCCGCCGTGGTTAGGTGTCATCTTCTGATTCCGTCCAAACAACCGGAACCGCCTCTCACCGCGTCTCTGGGTCATTCTGGGTCACCCGGCGCCCCTCGAGAAGCGGAAGGCCCGGCTACCGCGGCGGTCGTCCGCCAAGCTCCGGTGCAGCGCCAAGAGCCCGGGCCTCGCCCGGAGTGGAACGGAGTCGTTAAGTGGCTTCACTGTGCTTCACTTGGCCATTTGTGTGTGTGTTCCTTTCACGAAAGAATGGATAGACTTTGCTTGCACAGCCGCTGCTATACAAGAAAGTTCCGTGAACATGTTCAACAGTTCCAACAAAAGACATCTCCCAGCGCTCAACCACCAAATGTGACTGTCGGACCCACGTGGAAGAAATTACCGTCGTGAATTTGCGACACAACGCACCAGCCAAGCTTCCCACATATTGGCACGGTGTTTCAACAACACGTAAAAGAACCTTGGAGCAAGGATGCAAACCTTCCCTGTGTCACTCAAGTCAAACTCTTCTCGTGCTAGCCCCCTACACTCCGGAGTTACAGCTGGGATGCTAGCTGCAACCACCGGACAGTTGGAAAAATGACCAGCACGCGCTTGGGCTCACCTGCTGGGTTTGGATAGAAGCGCACGGGCGTCACAAGGTGCTTCGAGAAAACAGCCTTTGTTGACAAGCATCTCCTTCACCAAGAGGGCGTGCAAAACCGGCAAAAACTTCTGGGGCTCGTAGCGCACAAGCACCTAACTTTCCGTCCCATGTGCTGACATGGCACACAGGCAGGACATGACATGCCCCCGCCTGATCCACTGGTTGCGCAACCTCCAAATGAGCTTTGGCTGCATCCGCCTCCACAGTGCTGATCCTGGGAGGGAGTGGTTTGTATGTCTGCCTATGGGAAGTCCTAGCGCAGAGAAATATGAGATGCTTGTACATTCAAATGCCCCTTTAAATGGGCATGGATTTGGATGGTTGACTCGGGGAGAGCAGCAATGATGAAATTTGAGCCCCCAACACCTCCAGGTTTGCTCGCAGGGATCGCATGGCAAACTTGCGGATGTGCTCGCTGAACCTCAACTGCAAATGTCTCTTGAACCCCTGTTTGTTTCTGCTTGCTTCTTGCATGCGAAACAAGCTATTGATTCCTTCATCCGCTTCATACGCATGCTGGTGCTAACAGCTTGACAGCTCCAAACGAAATCTGTAATTGCCGGGAACCCCACGTAGCAGAACAAAGAACCATCTGCGGCCTCAAGACTATATAGCATAGCCCTCACACAAAGTCACGAAATGATGTAATCTGATAAACCGTGTAAAAAGGAATTGGTATTCGCATTCTATCGCATCGTCAGCCTGGAAGATAAGCACCGAAAGATGTAGTCCACCTTCTCCAGCCCGATTTGCGTTGCCACATGCAGAGATCAATTAGAAACATAAGTGTTACCACACTTGTCACTGTTTGTCAAGTTGATACTGTGCCGACGTATGTTTGCCATGTGTCACTGCAACCGTGCCTTGTGTATGAAGACAGGATCCAGCAATCGGTCTGCTTCATCCAGAAGAAATACTTCGATTGACCCAAGTGCACGAACCTTGCAGCCACATGGTCTGCACAGGTTGCTGTGGGAAACCCATCTGGGTTTCTTGCAAAATGTGGTGTGGATTGCAGGTGGTGAACCTAAAACAGTGCCAAATGGCATCAACAGTTCCGGGAATAACTGGAGGGTGACCTCTGCACATTGTGACTGAATCACTGAGCAATCTTTTGGGATCTGACTAAACGCCAAGGTGTTGCAAAAAGGATGTGTGGCGCATCTGCTTTGAGACGCTCGATATCCTCCTTCAAGTCAAGCGCAATTGTCCGATACTTCCCCAAAACTAGCAGTTCTTTTACACTTCTTGTAGCATCGTGTATTCTCTTGATTCTTGAATCTCGTGTTTCCTGTTGTGAAACCTGCTTCGCCATGGCCGCTTCAGTCTTCGCGTGTCCCATGCGACGTTCCGATTCGCCTGGTCTTAGACTTCACTAGAGCAACATAAACTCCAAAAGCAAGGTCAATGGAGAGAAAGGGTTTAGGTGGCTCAGCCGGCTTAGGTCGCTTAGGGTTGGCGCTCCCCCTTCAAAGAAGCCTTGCCTTTCTGTTTTTGTTGTTCTTCTTGTTCCCCAGATAGCTAGAGCTATTGGGCGTCTTACTTCATGTATAGGAAGAGGTGCCTGCGCGCACGTTTGGAGCCTGGGTGCTGTTGCCGCTGCAGGGTGCCGGAGAGTGCCGCTGCAAAGTGCCCTGTGTGCCAAGTGGCCGTGCGCGCTTTGAAGCTTGCGTGCTGGAGCTGCTGGAGGTTGTACTTCTAGGGTGCTGCTGCCAGATGTTGATGGCAGTGTACGCTTTTGGAGACTCTGCCCACAAGTATCTGTTGCTTTCTGGGTTCCTTTTCTTTCATCGCACGTCTTTTTGTGGGGTTCTGTATTCTGTGTCTTCGGCTGAGTAGCGAAAGTAGCTACAGTAGTAGCTGGCAAGAAAGCTCCCAAGTAGCTCCAAGGCGACGTTCGGGCGCAGGCGACGTTTATCTCGAAGGGTCCTTCAAGGAAGCTCCTATTGCCCGGAGAGCGGAGGGGGGGAGAGCTACCTTGATTTGGTTCAGAAGACCTGTTGCCAAGTGATATAGGTTTTATATATGCTATGTGGTACACCTTCTGTGGTTCATAGGCTTTAGATGTCTGTCCTTCTATTGCAGTGATGATGTAGAGGGTGAGTTCAGGTCTCCTGCATCGAGAAGCCACCCGCGACGAAGGAGCTCCGCACTTGCCCTCCGCTGTAAAGCAGCAGTCCGCTGGCAACTTTGGCCTTAGCACTTCGAACTTGGGGAATGAGGGATTCCGGTGCAATTCTTGCAGGTCCTTTTGCGGATCAACCTCAAACTCATGAACTTGACAAACCTAGATTCAATCATTCAAAAACTCAAGCCTCCTTCTTCCCATGGCCAGTTTCAATGTCACTGAGGTCAGTACCAGTTGCAAGACTAGCTCCCGAGTCGGTGCCAAAACCAATGCAAATACACCCTGAGCGGCTTTGGCCCAGCTGGGTCAAATGTCATGATTCCCAACTCTTGGTGGCAGCAAAGCAGCAGCTATGGCCATGGCCTTAGCAGCTTGAACTTGTCCATCAGCCTCCAAGCAAAATCGTAACCACACCGTCCACACCTATCGAGTCATCAAGTCAGTACCCTCAAACATCCTCACGCAACCAGCCTCTAGAGCCAAAAGCCTCTGCAAAACAGGCAACAGGAATGCGATGGTCTTCCCAGTCCCAGTGTGAGCCTCTCAGGCAAACTCAGCTCATACGGTCGCAGTCAAGAATTAAGTTGACTGAGGGGCCTGCAAGAGCAAGTCTAGTCTCTTCTGACAAGGATCCTGTAGGCAATGTAGGCAATGCACAATGACACTCAGCCGTTCGAAGGCGACGCAATGCTGCGCATACCGAGTGAATATCTGCAAAAAAAGTAGTAAACAACAATGAACAAGTTATTCTGACTGTTTGAACCAGTCCAAAATGGCCAAGGATGCCTCAAGCTGCCGCAAAATGGCTTGCTGCTGCACCGAAGTGAGGCGAGCACCTGGGCCTAGGGCCACCTGAAGCCATCAAGCCAACCAGGACTGAAAGGGATGGATTGCAACCTTGGCGTGCCTCCAATCCTCTCAATAATCTCGGATCAATGGCCAAGTCTTGAAAACGTACATCGGTAAAAATGCTGAGTCTCCGAAGGCCTGGCATCCCCGAGTACGCACGGACCCCACCCACAGCAAGGCTTTGCAAGTTCGACCCCCCGTGTCCACCTCTCGTTCGGCCAAACCACCCTGAGAGTGAGCGCAACCTGTCAAGCTTCGATGTAGCCAGAGCCAAATCAGCGGTGGTTTCGCAGCGCTGCTGATGATTTCAGCAATGCTAGCGGTGATGTCCGACACATGATGACAAACCTTCGCCTCAGCATCTCCCATGGCAGGCCTTGATGATGGCTCTTTGCAAGTCTTAACTTCAAAAGGCAGCGTAGACAGGTATCATGCAACGAGTAGCAGTGAAATCCAAAAACCTACCAACGGGCCCAAGGGGGAGGCAATCGAATTGTGCTGCGAGCTCTTTAGCACTACAAGGCTCCACATCAAGTGACATTGTCCAAACAACCAAATCCTTCCAGGTAATGATTATGTCACTCTAATCTGCTTAAAGCCAATAGCTGGCACATAAAGGCTCATCTGACAGCAACTGAAATGGCCCTTGGATTGTGAGCCGATGAGGTTTGCAGGAGCTCCTCAATCAGCCCTTTTCATTGGAGTCCAGCAGAGCTGAACAGGCTTGAACAGCTGAAGAGTCCAAATGGCACAACAGCCAGGGCACTCTGAGCTGCACAGGCTGTGCAGGCTGCGAGCCTGAGGAGTCAAAATCTGGAGAGTCTAGACACCAGCTGCCCAAACAGCTGTTCAAAGAGTTGGTGATTCCCACAGCAGGGGCTGCACCAAAGGCAACTCTGCCTCCTAGGAGATCTTGCAGGAGGCAAAGACCCAGAGCCCATTGGAAGGATTTCGCACAGGAGGCGACAGAAGCACTTTGTGCTTCCATGTCAGGTACCTCATGATGTTGAGATCTGTCCAGAAGACCAAGGGCAATCTGCCAAAGGTGGATACCTCCACATGAGGTCAAAACTGCATTGCGGGTGATGAAATCCGTCACAACACTGCGGGATCGGATTTCACGCAAAATTGATGTTGCCAATGTCCAGCAAGCCCCTTGGGCAAAGGCACTGGTCAAAGCGTTAAAACAAATAAGATCCGGCTCTAAGCCCACATTCAACGTTTGAACACACACCTGCAATGCATCTTCCCAAAGGATGCTCTTTTCATACATGGTGATCGCGGCGCTAAAAGTATCCACGCTGCCTCTGATGGCAGTCGTTTGCAAGGTCCGAATCATTTGCAGGCTCACTGGCCAGCAACCAGCCTCCCCAGTCAGACAAGAATTTACTCCTACTAGATTCATCCGGACTCCAGTGCACATAGTTGCTGCTAGCAAAGAAGCAGCACGGAACCATCTCCGGCGTTCTACACCAAGCATCGCATTGCCACTCACTTCATTCGGATGCAGATCGTGACGTGTCATGTCACACCAAAGCTCCGCGGCACAACGCCACGTCCCTTCATGATGTAAAGCAGCAATGGCTGCGCTGTAGCTCCTGACATTCGGAGTCACTCGATTCCATCTCATTAAATCCAAAATGCAAAAAGCTTCTTTCCAATGTCCACTCTGCTCTGGACAGGCACTGATCAAGGAAGTCAATGTCACTTCATCCGGACGTTTCTTGAAAGATACCATTCCGTCCAGCAAAATTAAGGCGAACTGCCATTGTCCACCCTTCTCACACGCATCTATACATGCGTTGTAGCATATCAGTGTGGGCATCGTCACCGTGAACATCTGTGTTAACCAATCCAACGACCTTCTCCAAGGTTCTCCCCTTGAGCTTGAAATCAGAGCCCCAAACGCTATTGAATCGAGCAAAGGATGCAAAAATGTTGTCTCAGTGCCAAGAATGGTAGCCTGCTGCCACCTGCACCCCTTCTCGCAGGCAGCAATTAATGAATTCATGCAAACTCCGTCTGGTTGAATTCCACGCAAACTCAAAAGCGTCAAAAAGCGAAGTGCCTTTGGCCAGTGCACCCCGTCTTGTGACCCACGAACCTCAAAAGGCAGCTGCAACAAAGGGACAAGGATACTTAAATCCAAAAGAGTAAAAACTCTAGAGAAAACAAAAAACACACACAAAAACGAAAATGGTTTTCGAGTCGTGCCGAGTTGCTGCCATCATCCCGGAGCTGTGGCTCACAACATCTGCTATGGAGCGTCGGTCCATGCAACCCAGGAGTTCATAGGCACTCTGCCAAATGACCGGACCCGAACGACCCAGAGAAGCTAAGGCAGCATTGTGATGACGAAGGTTCACCTAAAGCGATTCCAAAGAAAGACTTTTGGTCACCCCCCAAAAAGAGAAATGTGTATTGGTGATTTTCTGGTTTGGGTGTCTGAAAAGAATCACTCCCCTGCCTCCAAAGACTGCCATCGCAAGGCTTCCAGAAAGAGTAAAGGCCATACAGAACGCCGTAGCTGCTGGGTTACCAAGCTTGGTTTGCCATGCCACCTGGGCAGCAACAGGCAGCAGTTCAGCAACTCGGAAACTCGGTTTCAAGAGTCCTTGCAAAAATTGGTTTTAGATCCGAATCAAAGACTAGCTAGCTGTAGCTCTGCAGCACCAGCTACAACCCAGCAGGAAAAACCTTTGACTTGAGCAACATGAGGTTCAACTCACATGCACACACACAAACATTAGCGAGATTAAAGTAGAAACTGAATGCACCACCTTGCCTGAAGGCCTGAGTGAAAAACAGTGAAAGAGATTGCCAGACCAAAACAACCACGTGCATTGGGGCTCCAAAATCCAAATGTGCCTTTTTAGTGCCAACGCGTGACTGCCGAATGCACTAGCCCTTTCTTGCAGCACATCATCACACCTGGAAACGGCCTCCAAGACTGTGTGGACCGTAGAACAAACGCCACAAACTTCGTGAAAAACACGGGTGCGCCGGAGTGATCAAGTCCGGCATCCACCATGCCTAGCTTCGTTGGCATACGGTTGCGTAAGTAGTGGCTGCACACCCCACTCGATATCATATGATATAATAGACCCATGAGCAACAAATCTCCACAAAAAATACATCACTGTAGGGTGGGGCACTCCCCACACCCAGCCTGTTTTGCATGGTTCTGGAGGATCCACAATTGGAGCATCCAGGCCGAGGTTGCAATGATTAGCTGCAAAAGTACTTGAATGGTCGTGCGTTAGCCCCATTCAGCATTGGCTCGAAGGACTCGAAGTCGAAGGACCCCAGAAGTGTCTCAACATTGATGTGAGTTTCACATGGCTGCTTTTGGGCCGCTAGAACAGGAAGCCAGGAGCGAATAGCAAAGACCACTCAAGGTTTGCATGGTTGATCTAGTTTGCAACAAATGAGAGGAGGCTCAGGCGCAGGTTCACAAAGACAGCTGAAGCCTTTTAATCAAGCGTTCATTGGTGCTGAGGCGACTTCCACATTGGGAGAATGCCAGGTCCGAGGAGATGTGATCAAAAGGCATAAACCATAGCATGCCAAACGAGCTCAGCAGGCACATCTGCTCAGACCCCAATAACTATAGTTAATTTTGGGCAGCTGCAAACCAATTGAACCGATTGTTCTTCTGAGTAATCATTATATAAGTCTTTCATCTAGAGCATGGGCAGCTCCCCACGAGCAGCACGGCTTTTAAACAGCCCGGCACCTTCCGCTCCTTCTGTGTCTTCTAGTTTCTCGCATATTGGATAGATATGTATATATCTAGAAAACCTATGAAAACCTATACAAATCTCTTGGCCCGGGAAGTCTACAAGAGTGCCAGAGGCCCTACCCTACTGCAAAAAGTCAGATCACCTGTCAGCAAAGCACCACCAAAACACAGAGGATGAAATGGGATATGTTAGCCTGTTAGCAGTCAGTCAGGCCTGCAAAAAAGGGGCAGTTCAAAAGCTGTCCTCGGCACAAGTTTTAAACATCCAATGCACAACATAGTCATTTGACTCAGACCTTCTTGCGTTCACATCACCAAGCTCCCCGCTGAGGCAAAAATCCATGACCCTACTACCTCAAAATACATGACACAGACCTAAGGCATTTCACTGCTGAAACGTCAAAAAACTTGCCGGCCTTCGAGCAGAAGTACATGGCATCTCAGAATTTCTTTGTTGTGCGTACATTTCTTGGAATCGATTCCTCAGGAAAGAGCTCAGAATGTCCAGCTAAAGCACACTATGCAAGCAACGCAGGTGAGAATTCCCACTTGAGTGGTTTCTCTGAGGATGTCACACTTCAGCGGCGAGGTGCACCCTTCAGAGTTCAAAGCTTAACGATAACGTCTCAAAAGCAAGTTTCGGCGAAGCTTCAGCCGGGTGTTCATATGTTTTCATCTCGGGCCTGCATTCCCCGATCCCACTCTGACCGTTGCAGTACTCCGTCATGGTTCAGGTCCATGCGGTCGAACTGGTCCTTCGAAGGAAGGAGCACGTGTACAAATTTATATACACGTTGCACGTTGAAGTCTCAAGATAAGGGTCTGGCCATGAAACCTCCATACACAGTGCCGGCAGCCTTTGAAAATTGCAGAAATGTATTGTCAAAGTTGTGGCACAGCCTGCGCCGCCACTAAGATTCGTACGGGCACGGCAACTCCAGTCGAGACATTCGCCGCTGGCATGTAAGCCTTGCTTGCAAAACAAACAGTGCGTGGCTGGGAAGGTCTTGCTTGGAACAGGGTTGGCATCGTCCAACGATGGCAACAGAAAACAACAGGCAAATAAAGACTCTAAACGGTGTTACAGCCAAACTGCTCACCCTGCGCTCTTCACACCCCGCCCCTGAGCTCCAGACCATTGGAGCTGCTGTCACGGTGATGGGAGCTGCTGTCACGGTGACAGGAGCTGCTGTCATCATTGGGGCCGCAACCTCCATTGGTTCAACTGGCACCTAGTGCAGCGTGTAGAAGACCGGAACAAGTCGGGTGTTCCACGCAATCTCCTTCTTGTTACTAGTAGTAAGGCACCTGTTACTACTAGTAAGGCACTTGTTCCTAGTAGCGTGGCACTTGTTACTTACTAGCTTGCTCTTGCGGTTTTAATCTGTTATTTTAATGCTTTGGGACTTTTTCGAGCTCCCTCTTCCACAAGCAAGAACTTGCTTGTCGTCTCTCTATGTTTCAGGAATTTTCCTAAAGGCATCTCTGATGCTTGGGTTCTCATTTGGTCTGCTAACCTGTGCAGGAGGCCCTCGGGGCGGGGGTCGTTGGCCGTTCCTTTGCAGATCCTGCGCTCGGGTGCGGACCGTGGCGCTGGAGGTGCACTGGGAGGAGGCGAAGCTGCCGGCCGTGGAGCAGGGGAGAGGGAAGACCAAGGGGGTCAGACGGGGCAG